TCTCACCTGTGTGTGCTCGCATTCTTGCTTCAACTTTTGAGACGTCTCAAAAGTCGGCAGTGGCATCAACAACCACACTCCCATTCACCACCCTCTCACCTGTGTGTGCTCGCATTCTTGCTTCAACTTTTGAGACGTCTCAAAAGTCGGCAGTGGCATCAACAACCACACTCCCATTCACCACCCTCTCACCTGTGTGTGCTCGCATTCTTGCTTCAACTTTTGAGACGTCTCAAAAGTCGGCAGTGGCATCAACAACCACACTCCCATTCACCACCCTCTCACCTGTGTGTGCTCGCATTCTTGCTTCAACTTTTGAGACGTCTCAAAAGTCGGCAGTGGCATCAACAACCACACTCCCATTCACCACCCTCTCACCTGTGTGTGCTCGCATTCTTGCTTCAACTTTTGAGACGTCTCAAAAGTCGGCAGTGGCATCAACAACCACACTCCCATTCACCACCCTCTCACCTGTGTGTGCTCGCATTCTTGCTTCAACTTTTGAGACGTCTCAAAAGTCGGCAGTGGCATCAACAACCACACTCCCATTCACCACCCTCTCACCTGTGTGTGCTCGCATTCTTGCTTCAACTTTTGAGACGTCTCAAAAGTCGGCAGTGGCATCAACAACCACACTCCCATTCACCACCCTCTCACCTGTGTGTGCTCGCATTCTTGCTTCAACTTTTGAGACGTCTCAAAAGTCGGCAGTGGCATCAACAACCACACTCCCATTCACCACCCTCTCACCTGTGTGTGCTCGCATTCTTGCTTCAACTTTTGAGACGTCTCAAAAGTCGGCAGTGGCATCAACAACCACACTCCCATTCACCACCCTCTCACCTGTGTGTGCTCGCATTCTTGCTTCAACTTTTGAGACGTCTCAAAAGTCGGCAGTGGCATCAACAACCACACTCCCATTCACCACCCTCTCACCTGTGTGTGCTCGCATTCTTGCTTCAACTTTGAGACGTCTCAAAAGTCGGCAGTGGCATCAACAACCACACTCCCATTCACCACCCTCTCACCTGTGTGTGCTCGCATTCTTGCTTCAACTTTTGAGACGTCTCAAAAGTCGGCAGTGGCATCAAAAACCACACTCCCATTCACCACCCTCTCACCTGTGTGTGCTCGCATTCTTGCTTCACCTTTTGAGACGTCTCAAAAGTCGGCAGTGGCATCAACAACCACACTCCCATTCACCACCCTCTCACCTGTGTGTGCTCGCATTCTTGCTTCAACTTTTGAGACGTCTCAAAAGTCGGCAGTGGCATCAACAACCACACTCCCATTCACCACCCTCTCACCTGTGTGTGCTCGCATTCTTGCTTCAACTTTTGAGACGTCTCAAAAGTCGGCAGTGGCATCAACAACCACACTCCCATTCACCACCCTCTCACCTGTGTGTGCTCGCATTCTTGCTTCAACTTTTGAGACGTCTCAAAAGTCGGCAGTGGCATCAACAACCACACTCCCATTCACCACCCTCTCACCTGTGTGTGCTCGCATTCTTGCTTCAACTTTTGAGACGTCTCAAAAGTCGGCAGTGGCATCAACAACCACACTCCCATTCACCACCCTCTCACCTGTGTGTGCTCGCATTCTTGCTTCAACTTTTGAGACGTCTCAAAAGTCGGCAGTGGCATCAACAACCACACTCCCATTCACCACCCTCTCACCTGTGTGTGCTCGCATTCTTGCTTCAACTTTTGAGACGTCTCAAAAGTCGGCAGTGGCATCAACAACCACACTCCCATTCACCACCCTCTCACCTGTGTGTGCTCGCATTCTTGCTTCAACTTTTGAGACGTCTCAAAAGTCGGCAGTGGCATCAACAACCACACTCCCATTCACCACCCTCTCACCTGTGTGTGCTCGCAATCTTGCTTCAACTTTTGAGACGTCTCAAAAGTCGGCAGTGACATCAACAACCACACTCCCATTCACCACCCTCTCACCTGTGTGTGCTCGCATTCTTGCTTCAACTTTTGAGACGTCTCAAAAGTCGGCAGTGGCATCAACAACCACACTCCCATTCACCACCCTCTCACCTCTCACCTGTGTGTGCTCGCATTCTTGCTTCAACTTTTGAGACGTCTCAAAAGTCGGCAGTGGCATCAACAACCACACTCCCATTCACCACCCTCTCACCTGTGTGTGCTCGCATTCTTGCTTCAACTTTTGAGACGTCTCAAAAGTCGGCAGTGGCATCAACAACCACACTCCCATTCACCACCCTCTCACCTGTGTGTGCTCGCATTCTTGCTTCAACTTTTGAGACGTCTCAAAAGTCGGCAGTGGCATCAACAACCACACTCCCATTCACCACCCTCTCACCTGTGTGTGCTCGCATTCTTGCTTCAACTTTTGAGACGTCTCAAAAGTCGGCAGTGGCATCAACAACCACACTCCCATTCACCACCCTCTCACCTGTGTGTGCTCGCATTCTTGCTTCAACTTTTGAGACGTCTCAAAAGTCGGCAGTGGCATCAACAACCACACTCCCATTCACCACCCTCTCACCTGTGTGTGCTCGCATTCTTGCTTCAACTTTTGAGACGTCTCAAAAGTCGGCAGTGGCATCAACAACCACACTCCCATTCACCACCCTCTCACCTGTGTGTGCTCGCATTCTTGCTTCAACTTTTGAGACGTCTCAAAAGTCGGCAGTGGCATCAACAACCACACTCCCATTCACCACCCTCTCACCTGTGTGTGCTCGCATTCTTGCTTCAACTTTTGAGACGTCTCAAAAGTCGGCAGTGGCATCAACAACCACACTCCCATTCACCACCCTCTCACCTGTGTGTGCTCGCATTCTTGCTTCAACTTTTGAGACGTCTCAAAAGTCGGCAGTGACATCAACAACCACACTCCCATTCACCACCCTCTCACCTGTGTGTGCTCGCATTCTTGCTTCAACTTTTGAGACGTCTCAAAAGTCGGCAGTGGCATCAACAACCACACTCCCATTCACCACCCTCTCACCTGTGTGTGCTCGCATTCTTGCTTCAACTTTTGAGACGTCTCAAAAGTCGGCAGTGGCATCAACAACCACACTCCCATTCACCACCCTCTCACCTGTGTGTGCTCGCATTCTTGCTTCAACTTTTGAGACGTCTCAAAAGTCGGCAGTGGCATCAACAACCACACTCCCATTCACCACCCTCTCACCTGTGTGTGCTCGCATTCTTGCTTCAACTTTTGAGACGTCTCAAAAGTCGGCAGTGGCATCAACAACCACACTCCCATTCACCACCCTCTCACCTGTGTGTGCTCGCATTCTTGCTTCAACTTTTGAGACGTCTCAAAAGTCGGCAGTGGCATCAACAACCACACTCCCATTCACCACCCTCTCACCTGTGTGTGCTCGCATTCTTGCTTCAACTTTTGAGACGTCTCAAAAGTCGGCAGTGGCATCAACAACCACACTCCCATTCACCACCCTCTCACCTGTGTGTGCTCGCATTCTTGCTTCAACTTTTGAGACGTCTCAAAAGTCGGCAGTGGCATCAACAACCACACTCCCATTCACCACCCTCTCACCTGTGTGTGCTCGCATTCTTGCTTCAACTTTTGAGACGTCTCAAAAGTCGGCAGTGGCATCAACAACCACACTCCCATTCACCACCCTCTCACCTGTGTGTGCTCGCGTTCTTGCTTCAACTTTTGAGACGTCTCAAAAGTCGGCAGTGGCATCAACAACCACACTCCCATTCACCACCCTCTCACCTGTGTGTGCTCGCATTCTTGCTTCAACTTTTGAGACGTCTCAAAAGTCGGCAGTGGCATCAACAACCACACTCCCATTCACCACCCTCTCACCTGTGTGTGCTCGCATTCTTGCTTCAACTTTTGAGACGTCTCAAAAGTCGGCAGTGGCATCAATCACACTCCCATTCACCACCCTCTCACCTGTGTCTGCTCGCGTTCTTGCTTCCAGAACCACCCTGCTGCCACCATTCCACAGCCGCTCGCCAGCACCAGCGGCAGCAGCAGCACCACCACCACCACCAGCAGCAGCAGCTCTTTGCAAGGCCATGGCATCAGCAATCACACTCCCATACACCACCCTCTCCTCCTTCCCTTCACCCGCTCCCTCTCCCCCTCCCTCTCCTCTTCCTCCCTCCCCTCCCCCACAAGCCCGCCCTCCTTCCCAACCACCCCCTACCCCATATACACCCCTCCCTTCCACCCTCACCACCAATCCTGAGGCCCGACCCTCTCTGGTAAACCCAGCGGCTTCCTCCTCCCTTCCTCCCAACCCAGGCCTATCCGAATTGTTGCTCCCCGAACCTATCCCATCTCCAAGCCTCCAACCCACGTTAAACCCTCCCCCAACTATTCCTTCTGCCCCAAGCCTCTCCCCCAGCTTTTGCCTCTTGGTCTCCCTCTCTTGCTGGTTACCAATCTGCTGGTTACCACCCTGTTGCTGCTGCTGTAGCCTAGGGTCCTTCCTTGCTACAGCTGCTGGTGTCACTGGTACTGCTGCTGTTGCTGCTCTGGCTGTTGGTGGTGGTGCTGCTGTTTCTGCTGCTGGTGCTGGTGCTGGTGCTGCCGCTGCTGCTGCTGGTAACGCAGCTGCCACTGTTGGTGCTGCTGCTGCTGCGGCTGCGGCTGCTGCTGCTGCTCTTGTTGCTGGTGACGTTGCTTCCGCCGGTGCTTTTGCTGGTACTGCTGCTGCGCCTGCCACTGCTGATACCACTGCCGCTGCTGCTGCTGTCGCTGCTGCTGCTGTCACTGCTGGTACTGTCACTGCTGGTACTGTCACTGCTTCTGCTGCTGCAGCCGCTGATTCTGTCACTGGTGCTACTGCTGCTGCTGGTGCTGCTGCTGGTGCTGCTACTGCTGCTGCTGGTGCTGCTACTGCTGCTTCCCCCACTAATGGTATTGCTGCTTCTGTCACAGCAGTGGGAGCTACATCTGGCACTACAGGAGGCGGTTCAGCCACAATAGAAGTGATAGCAACAGGAGTGATTCTTTTCCGCCCATCCTTCCTCCTAACCACCACCTGCTGTCTTCTCACACACTCAGAAGACAACTGCACAACAGCAGCACCACCAACGGCTGCTCCTGCTCTTACGTTTGGATTTCCAAACACTGCAGTGGTGGCGGCGGCAGCAGCAGCGGCTTCTTCTTTTTCCACCTGCTGCTGGAGCGCCAGCAATTCAGGGTCCTCTACGAGCGAATGGGACGCCGCCACATGGCGGTGGCCGTACAGGCTGGCGATCCGGCCGTCCATCTCGCGGCGCGTCAGAGGGATGCCGAGCTCTGATTGGTCGAACAGGAAGGCTGCTACAGTGCCGTCGGCAGAGCAGCAGAGCATGTGAAGGCCGCATGGGGACCTGAAGAGTCGGGGGGGCAGAAGAAACGAGCAAGAGAGTGGAGACGGGAGGTAGATAGATGAGGAAGAAGGGAAGGGTGACAAGGAAGGCTGCTACTGTGGCGTCAGCAGAGCAGCAGAGCATGTGAAGGCCGCATGGGGACCTGATAAGATGAGGAAAGGAAAAGCACAGAGAGAGAGGGAGTACGAGATGAGAGCATGTGCATGCCGCATAGGAACCTATATGGGGCGAAACGATAAGAAATGATACAATACGATACGATAACAAACCATATGAACACCAACCATACCATACCATACCGTACCGTACCGTACCATACCATACCACATTATACCATGCAATGTCCAGCACAGGTTGCTTGAAGAGATTCTTCACGGTGAAGAGTGGTGAAGGCCAGTACGTGGGCCACAGGGTAACCTTCCGATCCATGCCGCCCAGTGCTCTCCACCCATAAGGCCCACTCCTCATCATCCCCATCGCCTGCATGCTACCTTTGAGACGTCTCAAAAGTCGTTTACTATACACTACCAAATCACACCACACCACACTGTACCTGACCACACCATACTACCCCATACCGTACCACACCACACCGCACTGCACCATGCCATACCACATTATACCATGCAATGTCCAAGACAGGCTGTTTGAAGAGATTCTTCGCGGTGAAGAGCGGTGAAGGCCGGTACGTGGGCCACAGAGTAACCTTCCGATCCATGCCGCCCAATGCTATCCACCCATACGGCCCACTCCTCATCATCCCCACCGCCTCCTCCCTCACTCTCTCCCTCTCCCTCTCTCTCCTCCTCTCCTCCTCCACCCTCACTCTCTCCTTCTCCCTCTCCCTCTCCCGCACCTCCTGCTCCCACACTCTCTCCCTCTCGCTCTCCTCCTCTCCCTTCTTCCACACAGCAGCTTCCCTCCCCTCCTCGCCTTTCCAACCCAGCACTCCACTCCCGTCCTTTCCTCCACCTCCGCCCATTCCCTCTCCGAGCCCACCTTTCCCCTTCTCTGTGACAAGATAGAGAGCAGAAACGGCCGCAAGCCCTCGCTTGCCACCAGCATTGTCGTTCAAAGGAGCAGAAGCCTCAGTAGCAGCGGGAGCAGAGGCAGCAGGAGGAGTAGCAGCAGCAGCAGCAGCGCCATCAGGGGGAGCTGCAGAAGCAGCAGCAGCACCGTCAGCAGCAACAGCAGCGGGAGGAGGGGCGACAGTCGAAGCACCAGCCATATCACCAGCAGCAGCAGTGCTTGCAGCGGCAACAGAACCACCATTACAACTACCGACACCACCACCATCCCCTCCTTTGCTAGAAGGCTTGACCGCAGCAGCCTCTACATCAGCCGCAGCACCAGCACGACCACCATCCCCTCCTTTGCTAGAAGGCTTGACCGCAGCAGCCTCTACATCAGCCGCAGCACCAGCACCAGAAGCACCTGCACCAACAACAGTAGCAGCAGCACTAGCATTGACAGCACCAGCATCAGCAGCACCAGCGCCCCCAGCAGCACCAACACTGCTTACCCCTCCCCCAGTTTCTGCCTTCCCTTGTCTACCTCCCCCCTCTTCTCTACCTTCCCCTCCTCCTTTGCCTTTCCCTCCTCTCTCTTTTCCTCCTCCTCTCCTTCTATTTTACTGCCACTCATACTCCCCCCATCACCCTCCAAGCCACCCTTCCCAGGCTTCCCCTCCCCCAGCGAGGTTCGGTAAAGCACGCGGCTGTACCGAGCCACGGTGACAGGTCCGGTATGCCCGACGTAGTCCAGAGTCTTGGCCCACCCGAGCGTGCGGTCTAGGATCGCCGCGGTGTGGTTTGGGTCGGCAAAGGCATGGACTGTAGTGAGGTAGGAGCCGCAGGGGGAGAAGGAGAGGCGGCGGAAGAAAGTAGCTCCCACCTGAAAGAAGATAGCGGTGGGGAGGGATGGGGAGGGGTGCGGAAGAGTGGGAATGGGTGGGGAAAGGTGAATCAGCAAAGGCATGGGCTGTAGTGAGGTAGGAGCCACAGGGGGAGAAGGAGAGGCGGCGAAAGACAGAAGCTCCCACCTGTCAGGGGGGATTGGGGAGGGGGAGCAAGAAGACAAGGAGCAGGAAGACAAGGAGCAGGCTTTTGAGAATTCTCAAAAACCAGCAGGCAGACAAGGAGCAGGCAGACAAGGAGCAGGCAGACAAGGAGCAGGCAGACAAGGAGCAGGCAGACAAGGAGCAGGCAGACAAGGAGCAGGAAGACAAGGAGCAGGCAGACAAGGAGCAGGCAGACAAGGAGCAGGCAGACAAGGAGCAGGCAGACAAGGAGCAGGCAGACAAGGAGCAGGCAGACAAGGAGCAGGCTTTTGAGAATTCTCAAAAACCAGCAGGCAGACAAGGAGCAGGCAGACAAGGAGCAGGCAGACAAGGAGCAGGCAGACAAGGAGCAGGCAGACAAGGAGCAGGCAGACAAGGAGCAGGCAGACAAGGAGCAGGAAGACAAGGAGCAGGCAGACAAGGAGCAGGCAGACAAGGAGCAGGCAGACAAGGAGCAGGCAGACAAGGAGCAGGAAGACAAGGAGCAGGCTTTTGAGAATTCTCAAAAACCAGCAGGCAGGTGGTAGTGAGAGGTGAGGAAGGAGAATTTGTTTTGAGACGTCTCAAAACACTTCTTCAAACACGGGGTAGGGAGAGGTGAGGAAGGAGAATTTGTTTTGAGACGTCTCAAAACACTTCTTCAAACACGGGGTAGTGAGAGGTGAGGAAGGAGAAATTGTTTTGAGACGTCTCAAAACACTTCTTCAAACACGGGGTAGTGAGAGGTGAGGAAGGAGAATTTGTTTTGAGACGTCTCAAAACACTTCTTCAAACACGGGGTAGTGAGAGGTGAGGAAGGAGAATTTGTTTTGAGACGTCTCAAAACACTTCTTCAAACACGGGGTAGGGAGAGGTGAGGAAGGAGAATTTGTTTTGAGACGTCTCAAAACACTTCTTCAAACACGGGGTAGTGAGAGGTGAGGAAGGAGAATTTGTTTTGAGACATCTCAAAACACTTCTTCAAACACGGGGTAGTGAGAGGTGAGGAAGGAGAATTTGTTTTGAGACGTCTCAAAACACTTCTTCAAACACGGGGTAGGGAGAGGTGAGGAAGGAGAATTTGTTTTGAGACGTCTCAAAACACTTCTTCAAACACGGGGTAGTGAGAGGTGAGGAAGGAGAATTTGTTTTGAGACGTCTCAAAACACTTCTTCAAACACGGGGTAGTGAGAGGTGAGGAAGGAGAATTTGTTTTGAGACGTCTCAAAACACTTCTTCAACCACGGGGTAGTGAGAGGTGAGGAAGGAGAATTTGTTTTGAGACGTCTCAAAACACTTCTTCAAACACGGGGTAGTGAGAGGTGAGGAAGGAGAATTTGTTTTGAGACGTCTCAAAACACTTCTTCAAACACGGGGTAGTGAGAGGTGAGGAAGGAGAATTTGTTTTGAGACGTCTCAAAACACTTCTTCAAACACGGGGTAGTGAGAGGTGAGGAAGGAGAAATTGTTTTGAGACGTCTCAAAACACTTCTTCAAACACGGGGTAGTGAGAGGTGAGGAAGGAGAATTTGTTTTGAGACGTCTCAAAACACTTCTTCAAACACGGGGTAGTGAGAGGTGAGGAAGGAGAATTTGTTTTGAGACGTCTCAAAACACTTCTTCAAACACGGGGTAGTGAGAGGTGAGGAAGGAGAATTTGTTTTGAGACGTCTCAAAACACTTCTTCAAACACGGGGTAGTGAGAGGTGAGGAAGGAGAAATTGTTTTGAGACGTCTCAAAACACTTCTTCAAACACGGGGTAGTGAGAGGTGAGGAAGGAGAATTTGTTTTGAGACGTCTCAAAACACTTCTTCAAACACGGGGTAGTGAGAGGTGAGGAAGGAGAATTTGTTTTGAGACGTCTCAAAACACTTCTTCAAACACGGGTAGTGAGAGGTGAGGAAGGAGAATTTGTTTTGAGACGTCTCAAAACACTTCTTCAAACACGGGGTAGTGAGAGGTGAGGAAGGAGAATTTGTTTTGAGACGTCTCAAAACACTTCTTCAAACACGGGGTAGTGAGAGGTGAGGAAGGAGAAATTGTTTTGAGACGTCTCAAAACACTTCTTCAAACACGGGGTAGTGAGAGGTGAGGAAGGAGAATTTGTTTTGAGACGTCTCAAAACACTTCTTCAAACACGGGGTAGTGAGAGGTGAGGAAGGAGAATTTGTTTTGAGACGTCTCAAAACACTTCTTCAAACACGGGGTAGTGAGAGGTGAGGAAGGAGAATTTGTTTTGAGACGTCTCAAAACACTTCTTCAAACACGGGGTAGTGAGAGGTGAGGAAGGAGAATTTGTTTTGAGACGTCTCAAAACACTTCTTCAAACACGGGGTAGTGAGAGGTGAGGAAGGAGAATTTGTTTTGAGACGTCTCAAAACACTTCTTCAAACACGGGGTAGTGAGAGGTGAGGAAGGAGAATTTGTTTTGAGACGTCTCAAAACACTTCTTCAAACACGGGGTAGTGAGAGGTGAGGAAGGAGAATTTGTTTTGAGACGTCTCAAAACACTTCTTCAAACACGGGGTAGTGAGAGGTGAGGAAGGAGAAATTGTTTTGAGACGTCTCAAAACACTTCTTCAAACACGGGGTAGTGAGAGGTGAGGAAGGAGAATTTGTTTTGAGACGTCTCAAAACACTTCTTCAAACACGGGGTAGTGAGAGGTGAGGAAGGAGAAATTGTTTTGAGACGTCTCAAAACACTTCTTCAAACACGGGGTAGTGAGAGGTGAGGAAGGAGAATTTGTTTTGAGACGTCTCAAAACACTTCTTCAAACACGGGGTAGTGAGAGGTGAGGAAGGAGAAATTGTTTTGAGACGTCTCAAAACACTTCTTCAAACACGGGGTAGTGAGAGGTGAGGAAGGAGAATTTGTTTTGAGACGTCTCAAAACACTTCTTCAAACACGGGGTAGTGAGAGGTGAGGAAGGAGAATTTGTTTTGAGACGTCTCAAAACACTTCTTCAAACACGGGGTAGTGAGAGGTGAGGAAGGAGAATTTGTTTTGAGACGTCTCAAAACACTTCTTCAAACACGGGGTAGTGAGAGGTGAGGAAGGAGAATTTGTTTTGAGACGTCTCAAAACACTTCTTCAAACACGGGGTAGTGAGAGGTGAGGAAGGAGAAATTGTTTTGAGACGTCTCAAAACACTTCTTCAAACACGGGGTAGTGAGAGGTGAGGAAGGAGAATTTGTTTTGAGACGTCTCAAAACACTTCTTCAAACACGGGGTAGTGAGAGGTGAGGAAGGAGAATTTGTTTTGAGACGTCTCAAAACACTTCTTCAAACACGGGGTAGTGAGAGGTGAGGAAGGAGAATTTGTTTTGAGACGTCTCAAAACACTTCTTCAAACACGGGGTAGTGAGAGGTGAGGAAGGAGAATTTGTTTTGAGACGTCTCAAAACACTTCTTCAAACACGGGGTAGTGAGAGGTGAGGAAGGAGAAT